ACGAGTTGCACCGAGATAGAGCTATTTCACTGTACTGTACACTGTACAGGCGAGCAATACGCGATGCCCCCACACGAGTTGCACCGAGATAGAGCTATTTCACTGTACTGTACACTGTACAGGCGAGCAATACGCGATGCCCCCACACGAGTTGCACCGAGATAGAGCTATTTCACTGTACTGTACACTGTACAGGCGAGCAATACGCGATGCCCCCACACGAGTTGCACCGAGATAGAGCTATTTCACTGTACTGTACACTGTACAGGCGAGCAATACGCGATGCCCCCACACGAGTTGCACCGAGATAGAGCTATTTCACTGTACTGTACACTGTACAGGCGAGCAATACGCGATGCCCCCACACGAGTTGCACCGAGATAGAGCTATTTCACTGTACTGTACACTGTACAGACGCGCAACACGCCATGTCCTCACACGAGTTGCACCGAGATAGAGCTGTTTCATTGCACCGTACACTGTGCAGACGAGCAACACGCATTGTTCTCACACGAGTTGCACCGAGATATAGCTGTTTCACTGCACAGTACACTGTACACTGTACAGACGAGCAACACGCCATGTCCTCACACGAGTTGCACCGAGATAGAGCTATTTCACTGTACAGTACACTGTACACTGTACAGACGAGCAACACGCCATGTCCTCACTCGAGTTGTACCGAGATACGCAAGTTGCGAAGTGCATTGATGTTGATAGTGGAATTTTCGAAAATTTATTATACTAGGTAAACTGTACCAACTTTGTCACTTGAACAATAAATGCCGGTATTAGAAACAGTACACAATATCTCTTTCTTATCAACAGTTTTGGAACTGTACAGTGAAACAGCTCTATCCCGGAAACCGTTCAGAACAGGACACATGTACATATACACTTAAAATGGCCGATATTATGACCTCCAAAGTATTGACCTTTCCTCCTGGAACACATTGTATGTCATTTAGCCAAGTAGATATTTACCGACGTTCCAGAGGAACCCGCTGCCTCATCTTCAGAGTGGAAAAATGGGCCCAAATCATGAATGTGGGATATGGTAAGGAAGCATGGGGACAGAGAGAGCGAGTAAACTGACCGGTACCCTGAAATAATTAATAGGTATTAAGGGGAAAAGTGAAATAATATGTTATACCCTGAATCTCAAGGCAGTATTCTTCTCCGAAACTCCGGTAAATATCCACCAAACTACAAAGGTGTCACGCTACAGAAGGTTAACCCTCACTAAAATTTTCAAAAATTGAGAAGAAGAGACAGATATGTTACCCTCTACGTCGACATGTTTGGTGATTAGAAATAAAAGCAGTAAGTGATATAGACAAGTATTGGTACGGATGTGGGAGCTAGATCAACTGAAGAGGCTTCTGATATTCATTCATGAGTAATCTGTCAGACGACAGGTCCACAGTCCCCTCCAAAACAGTTCCTCCATTTAATGCGATCTAGAGCTTTCTCCTTCAAATGAGAATATCCTCTTCTGTCCCCAAGGTCATCCAGCATTTTCTTACGTCTTCTTCCTCGTCTTCTGGTCACTTCTATCCGCCCCTCTATCTTTCCTTCAATAACTTCTTTTAGAAGGCAGTTACTGCGTAAGATATGACCAATCCAATTAGCCTTCCGTTTTCTTATTTCGTGTAGGATATTCCTCTGCTCACTGACTCTAATTAACACTTCTTCATTTCTCACATAATCGGTCCAACTCATCTTCTCCATCGTTCTCCATCACCACATTTCGAAGCTTTCCAGTTGTTTCTGATCTACTGCCCTAAGTGTCCAAGTTTCAGCCCCATACAAAGCGATGCTCCAAACGTAGCATTTCACTAGTTTCTTTCTCAAATTTAAGTCCAATTTGCTGGTAAAAAGATTCTTCTTCTTGCTAAATGCAGCTTTTGCCATGGCAATCCTCGATTTAATTTCACAAGTACAACTTCCATATAAAAAAACAACTGCTTTCATTTCTAATCATCAATTAGAAATATAATCACCGAATATCAGAAATTAAAGCAATATAATATGTACGTGTACATTTGCTTAGTATAGATGCTAGAGGCTCCTTCAAGTGAACAACACTCCTACTTTACGAACAAGATCCTCTACTCGTATCTGCTTCACGTCCTCCGGCCGGATTACTGCTGCACGCTTGAACATAAGAGGCCGACTTTCAGCGTCTCAGAAGAAGACTTAGAGACTCTGTCTGATCTTTATTGCTTTCTTCTCCCCTTTTTATCTTCTTGTATTCTTCTCTGTGCCCCGGCCACCGCATGAGGAGACTTCCCTCTGCGAGATGTCCCGTCTCCCCGTTCCAAGCAACAAGCAACTCTTCTATGTGGTCTGATTGCTTAGCGATGTTATTTATTTGCTTTAAAAAACACTTTAGAAGTATTTGCGTTACATAAAGGGAAAATATATGAAAATGTGTGGGGCTGAGTTTTTGCCTACACTGAGAGAGAGAATGCAAGCATGTAGCTACGCTGAGAGAGAGAGAGAGAGAATGGAAGCATGTAGCTACGCTGAGAGAGAGAGAGATAGAATGAAAGCATGTAGCTACGCTGAGAGAGAGAGAATGAAAGCATGTAGCTACGCTGAGAGAGAGAGAATAAAAACATGTAGCTATACAAAGGGAACAATGAAAGCATGTAGCTACACTGAAATAGACAATGAACACATATAGCTATACTGAACGATACAATTAACGCATATAGCTATACTGTGGACAACTAGTAACCAGCACAAAATTTAATCACTTATGTCTGTACAAGGTTGAATTCGCTTGATGGCAAAAGCATGGTGAATGCTCAACAAGATATTAGGTTTGGAATCGAACTAGTGTCCCCCAACTTTAAATATTAAAATCTGTGGTGGCGGACGTGCGCATTTCTGGGCATTTTCCTGAAGAAACTAAGCAAAATTGCGAAAATGTGAACAAGAGTAGTAAGTGAGCGGGCCAAGATTCGAACTGGGTCTCACGAACACAACACTAGGAAGCGCCCACTCAGTGAACTGAACTTTGTTGCAAACAAAGCAATAAAATACATTTTTAGCGATTCGCATGTTTCTTCTTCCATTAATTACACAAAACTTGGCTTACTCCGCTTTCGACAAAAGTAATGATGTAGAAACCTTCGACAGTTGATACATCATCATTACACGACTGAAATGTTCTCAACTAAATCATGGTCCAATAACACTAGACCTATTTGTATTTACAAGATGACAGATTTTCGAGAACAAACTCTTATAGTTATCAAGTGAACAGACCACATCAGACACGGATGCATGATCACAGAGCAGCTGTGTCTCGGAGAGCAGCAGTCTGTGGCGAGTAACGCATCAAACCACGGAGGAATGGCTTAAAACTTCATATATATTCTTAACTTCTGCATTACGTAGATATGTGTAGCCAAATTGAAGCTTCCTCCCCTTTACTCCCGGGGGAAACAGCCACCGACATTAATTGTATAGGAGACTATGCAGCTCCCAGAAGCAGCCTGGACAAGAAAACAAATATCTGGTAACTGGAGGGAGGGGAATCCCCGTATTCCAGCCTGTAACCAATCAATTTAACGACCAACTAATTTAGCCTCCACGGGCTCTGGAATCCCGCCGTTTCAGAAAACACTGAACTGTAGAAGCTTAATGGATTAACATATTCGCAGTACTTACTTACTTACTTACTTACTTATGGAGCTTTTCGATCCCGGTTCAGGTCAAGTGGGATTTGTGGTGGACAAACGGGGGCTGGAGCAAGTTTCTCAGAGTACTTCGGTTTCCCCTGCCAATCTTCATTCCACCAACTGCTCCACAATCACCCTTACCTATCATCTGGGGCTGGTACAATAGGCCAGAAGTAGCCGCAGTACAAGGGACTTAGTCCCACCCCACTAGCAATAAAAAAATTACTTATGGAGCTGAGCCCTTCTTGAGAAGCCGCCAATTGTGAAGCTACTCAAGAACTTCCCAGCCTTTTATGGAACCCGAAGGTTCATTACCGTATTCACAAGAGCCCTCCACTGGTCCCTATCCTGAGCCAAATCAATTCAGTCCATACCATCCCATCCTATCTCTCTAACATCCATTTTAATATTGCCCGCCCACCTGCGTCTTGGTCTTCCCAGTGGCTTCTGGCTTTCCCACCAATATCCTATATCCATTCCTCTCCTCCCCCATTCGTGCTACATGCCCTGTCCATCTCATTCTCGTTCTAATTATACTTGGAGAAGAGTACAGGTTATGAAGCTCCTCATTATGTAGTTTTCTCTAACCTCCTGTCACTTCATCCCTCTTCGGTCCAAATATTCTCCTCAGCACCCTGTTCTCAAACACCCTCAGTCTATGTTCCTCCCTTAATGACAGAGACCAAGTTTCACACCAATACAAAACCACAGGCAAAATTATAATTTTGTATATTCTAATTGTTATGTTTTTGTACAGCAGACGAGAAGACAAAAGGTTCTGAATGCTAGCAGGCTGTATTCACGATACACAGAAACAAAAGACTGCTCTCTCGTTCATGGACTACTATGTTACTTGCGTACATGCAAGGTGTTGGCGCTAGGAAATTCGTTATGGTAAACCGACATCACCTGACTTCAGGGCTTTAATTCGCCATTACATTACTTTATATATATATAAGGTTTCATACATACGTATTATTTTTTATTGGTAGTGGGGTGGGACTAAGTCCCTTACACTGCGCCCACTTCTGGCCTATTGTACCAGCCCCAGATGATAGGCGAGGGTGATTGTGGAGCAATTGATGGAATGAAAATTGGCAGGGGAAACCGAAGTACTCCGAGAAAAACCTGCCCCAACGCCAATTTATCCACCACAAATCCCACTTGACCAGATGCGGGATCGAACCCGGGCCGCCACGGTGGAAAACCAGCGACTAACCGCTTGAGCTATGTATCTGTCGTGATGTAAACTTGTTCCCAAAAATTATTAACTTTCATGCATACATAGAACAGGAATATAAAACTCACCTCATTTCAGTTGTAAACTCGAGGTTACTGGCGAAAGGAAGGAATATTTGTACTGACAGGCAAAAGATGAAGGCAGCTATAATCCAGGAGCTTCACACGCACGCACGCACACACACACGCTTACTCTTTCTTCCTTCAACAGCTACTGGTCTACTCAGGCAGGTACTTGAAAGTCTTGTCTCGCATTAGCACAAGATTGAAATTGTCTGTAGAAGTTGTTTTAAGTTTAAACAACAATAAGTGTGTGAAAAATGTGTCAATACATATATGTTCAAAGGTCCTAATAGGCTAATAACCTTTTATTCACGTGTTACTTCACTGTTCCACTGATGTCATGAGCTATTCCCGCTCTTACGTTCTGTTACATCAGCTAATTTTGTTCATTCGTTTCATAAAACCCCTTCCTAATTACGCCTACAAATAAATATTTTTAAGAGATTAGTAAGATTATCTTCACTTCTCTCGTGTCTATAAATAAACGCGCATGAAACATAAAATCACTCTTTCCAAACGCACGATATTCTTTTGTTTAAATTTCAATGTAAGTCTCGCGTCATACGTTCGCTTTTCAAACTGTTGCTTTATCAACAATGCAACAGGCTTCTGTTTTGACTCACAGACTTGCAGTAAGTGACGTCATTTGATCGATGCCTTTGTCACACAAATCATTGACATATACATGTGTTACAATTCATAGTATTAATTGTAGTATCAAACTGTACACAATTCAGTGTGGTGTTACAATGAAACACACGTCAACATGCCATAGATATAAGATGGAAAGTTCGCAGGTATCAACACGTAATGGTTTTGTTCTTAAAACAATTTCGTCCAGAAATGTCACAGGATATTCTGAAATGGATTTCATCTAACGACTGTATGGTATATAAAACTTTTTTTTCATATTTTTTTTTATAAATTTCGTGAATATTTATAAATTTGTGTTATAATACAAACATCGATTTCTTACCTTCAAACTAATATTAAAATCGTTAAACACGTTTTACGTTAAATTTTCAACATCAAAAGCAACTGGTATTTTATAGTGATCTAAGTAAACAGCATTAAAATTCACTACTTTAAAAAAAATTGTCACTACAGTTCATTGCAGTTATTAATAATGTTCTTAATTACATTTGCGCAGTGTACTGCAAATAATCGAAGCCTAAACGTACTTATATGAATCCATTTCTCATGTGATTATCTGTTATATAACACGAAAGCGGATGTCCATTGCTTGCCCCATTCTGCCTGCTCAAAACGCTACCAACTGACTGCTGCTGACGCGCTACACCAACGCCACCTGGAGAGAAACCAACTACCCCCACCCGAATGTCTCTTTCTGTCTCGATATAACACGCAATATACGCATGCTCCATAAAACAATGTTGCCCGTCGCGAGCGTAGAATGGAAACAAAATATTATGCAAATATGAATTCAGAACTAATTATATTACAACACAGATTGCCTACAAAGAAAATTGTGACGCGTTGGTTAAGTACTCTTACCAACTCGCAACTCTCTGATCTCTAAAAGGTAAAAGGTAAATTTGTCCCTGTGCTTAACTAATCAAGCACTATGTCATGAAGGCGTATGGGGAAGTGGATGTATAGGTGCACATTTTCTTGACTAAGACACTATTTGGAGGTGAGTGGTCAGCTTCACGCCCCTGCCACTTTAACCCCGGGGAAACAGCCCACAGTACCCATTGTATAGGAGGCTGGTTGGGCCCCTGAGCCGAACTGGACTACCTGAAGTAAATTCTTGACCCTACCGGGCCTCAGTAGTCTGTCCCGTAGCCAGTCGCTACATACATCCATGCCTTGAGTGAGATTCGAACCCACGATGCCAACGTTCGAGCGAGCGAATACGGTTCATGCCTTAGACCGCACGGCCACTGTGATCGGCATCACTACTACTACTACTACTACTACTACTACTACTACTACTACTCTGTAAAACGAAGCTCACTTTTTGAACAGTTCACTTTTCACTAGTGAGTCGTGATATCTGAGCGAGTGAAGTGGCTGTCTCCAGACTGAACACCCAACTTCCAGTTCACAGGAATGGCACAATTTATCTCTTTTCCGCGGCGTGTATACCAACCCCTGGGGCCACTCAACCCCCTACACATCAGGACTCTTTTCCCAAGGAAAAACTAACCCGGAGCATAAATATAACCAATCAACTCCCTCTAGTGACGAGCTTAGTATACGTCAAACTACTTCGCCTCCGCCGTCCCTATACGCCATGCTCATTGACAAAATTTCTTTTTGCTTTATTGAAAAAATTAACTACCTTATTTTGATAGGAGAGTAAGGCGTGGAGGGGATAAAAATGCATACAAGTTTTTTCGGAAAACCTGAAGCACCTATTCGTAGACAAAGAGATAATATTAAAACGGATCTTAAAGACATTGTTTGGGTGAGTATGAAATGGCTCGGGGTACTGACCACTGGAGGGATCTAGTGATAAGGATAATGAAGGAAGTTTACTATACAGACTGCACGGCGTCACGTCCCGGAAGATAGAACCTTCAGTCACTGATGTGAGACTCCCGTATCTCGAGTTGCAGAAAATGCTTGAATACTGTGACTAGCTTGTGGAACTAACAGCTTCCCAAGGAAGGCTTTGCTCTGTTTATTTATTTTATTTATTTAAATTGAATTCTAAATTGAACAAGACCGCAGCTGCTAAACGCCATTTTGATGCCGCAAACTGTCCTCAGCCTGATTTTCTTAAATCTAATTTAACTAATGGGATTTACATATACCCAACTTCATGCAGATGAGCCCTTCTTGTGAATCCGCCAGTTGTGCAGCTACTCAAGAACTTACTAGTATTTTATATAATCCAAATATTCGTTACCGTGTTCACTGATCCCTATTCTCAGCCGTATAAATCCAGTACATACCACTAGATCCTGTCTGTCTAAGATCCATTTTAATATTATCCACACACCTACGTCTTGATCATCCTAGTTGTCTCTTACCTTCTAGCATTCCCACCAAAATCCTCTACGTATTCCTCTTCTCCCCATTAATTTATATAATTTATTGCATTTTTTGGCATATTTTCCCACTGACTTTTAATTTCAAATTAACATTTCCTTATGTCCATATGGTAACATTGGTTAATATTGTTTCCTTTCATTTACAGAACCTACGCTAATTTCCAGGGCACGCGGTAGCGTAGTTAGTTGAAGCAATATACTACAAGCCGGAAGGTAGCGGGTTCGATTCCTGGTGAGATCATTGGATTTTTAAATTTACCCAATCCTTCCAGCCGCACTACGGCACCGGGGTCGACTCAGCCTCTAACAGAAATAAGTACCAGGAGTTTTTCCTGGAGGTAAAGCGCGGCCGGCGCGTAAGACTGACCTCACCACCACCTGTGAGCCGATTGTCTAGAAAATATGGGAGCTTCGACGTCTCACAACCTTATGGGCCTCCACGGCCTGTTACAGGGATAGCTTTATTTTACGCAAATTTCCCATTAATATCCAAACACTTCTCAGTATAACCAGACCACACTGCACTTCCTTGCCTCAGGGCACTTTAGTAATGTAGCAACGTGGCATGTAGGGACATCCTAACTTTCCTTACCACTCCTCCTCTTCCTCTTCTTTCCCTATTCCCTAATTCCTCCGTGTTCTTTCCTTCCTCCAGAACTCACATGTCCTGCTCCATGTCGTCAGAGTGGTTAGTTTGTTTGTTGGTAACTGGCTTGTTAGTTACTCGTTAGGTAGACACAAATATTATATATCTGGATATTATATATCGCCCTGCTTTTATCTAAAACACCAATTAGATTATATTTCAAAATACGTTTCGGAGACAGGATTATGTCTCGTCTTCAGGTAAAATCCTACTCAGTTGGGCCCAATCGATAGAAACACAATATTTATATTAATGTAACATGGTCAGAGATTTTAGATCTTATTTAGGTAGGTAGATACTTGGGTAGTTCGTTAGTAGGTTGGTAGTTTTGTCGGTCAGGCGGTCAGTTGATTGGTTGATTAACTTCCATACTCTATGATCACCAAGTGCCGGGTCAAAGAGATGAAGCACCCCGCCCCACCAACTGATTTACCTAGGTTGTGATAATGTGCTGCCTGCCCAGTGCTATCTCACACAATGGGAAACTTAGTGGACAAGTATAGAGAAATACTGGGATCATGGTAAACAGGGAAAGAAACTAACGAACTCGAAGAAAACTGCGTTCCAGCGCAACATCAATCAGCAAACAAACCACATCAAGTCATTCAGAATCGAACCCGGGACTCCTCAGTGAAGAGTCAGCATCTAACCGCTTGAGAGTAATTCAATGACACATTCTGGGAAAAAAGACAGGAATTAATTTTTTTATTGATGTTCTTATATATTTAAAGCCGTACTCTCATTTGCATCAGGTACGCCCTTCAGGCCCACTCTGCATTCATCTGCATGTACACACACGCAGCCCCCTGCCACAAGTGCCTATTTCACACTGACAAAAGCGCGGTTCAAGAGCAGACTCTTATCATATTGATCAGCCTCTAGGACTTCAGAGTGCAGTAATTCTTTCGCCGAGCAATGTAACAAGGCAGTATCGCGGCACTCATGTCGAAACAGCGCCTGATATAGCCTCGTCCTCAGCCTCTGTCCCATATCTCTTTCGCCAAACGAGGTGGCTGGGCTGTAACGTGTCTGGTTTGCTTTCTGCTATAACTGAGTTCGAATACCGGACACACACCGCCTTCAATGATTCAAGAATAATACCATAAAATAGGTCACGACCGCTTCTTTTCATTATTATCAGCCAACCATCCAACGCTATTTAATGTTAAATTACTTACTTAATCCATTCCTCTTATACCTTTTGGTGTCGAGGTTGTTTTTTCATTTTGATCATTTTCCAGACCGTAGGACACCTTGGACGGGTGATCAGCCCGTCGCAAGGCCTCTACCTAAACACAGGGCAACACAAACACAGAATAAACACATACACCTAACATCCATGCCTTGTGTGGGATTCGAAAATACGATCCCCGGCTTCCGAGTGAGCGAAGACAGTACAATACTAGTTACTTATAAGAAAAACTATCCCTGTAACAGGCCGTGGGGGGCCATGGGGTTGTGAGACGTCGAGGTTTTTTTATTGCTAGTGCGGTGGGACTAAGTCCATTGTACTGCGGCCACTTCTGGCCTATTGTACCAGCCCCAGATGATAGGTGAGGGTGATTGTGGAACAATTGGTGGAGTGAAGATTGGCAGGGGAAACCGAAGTACTCAGAGAAAACCTACCCCAGCACCACTTTGTCCACCACAAATCCCACTTGACCAGACCCGGGATCGAACCCGGGCAGCCGCGGTGGGAAGCCAGCGACTAACAGCGTTAGCTATGGCGCGACCCAGACGTCGAGGTTCCCACATTTTCTATACAATCGGCCTACAGATAGCGGTGAGGTTATCAGCCTTACGTGCCGGCCGCCCTTTACCCCGCAGGAAGATTCCTGATACTCATTTCTGTTAGAGACTGAGTCGAACCCAGGGCCACAGTGCGGCTGGAAGGATTGGGCCAATTGAAAAAATCCAATCACCTCATAGGGAATCGAACCCGCGACCTTCCGGTTTGTAGCATAGTACCTCAACCAACTATGCTATCGCGTGCGCCCAATGTGAATTATTTATAGCGTGATTAAACAAACAAATAAATAATTATCACTGTTGATATCCTTACATACCAGTTCTAAATTAGTTATTTAACAACGCTGTACGCATTAAGTCTATAAAGTGTCGATGACAGGATAATTAATGAATGTGCAGCTCCAGGTGGAATACAAATTGGCAGGGGAAATAGTAGTATTGTGAGAACATCTTCCCCAGTGCCACATTGTGAGCTACAAATCCTGCACGACGTGAAATAATACTGAATCCGGTTATGCCAATGTTAACATCTACACTACGCAGTTATCTGGGATAATACATTATCATTAACAAGCATTAATTATAAAAAAAAACTACTTTCCCCGTAGTCCGCAAGCGAACTATACCGTCAGAGCGACCGCCGCTTGTCGGTGAAGTTAGTCCCAACATTAGAGGATAGAGGGTGTCGCATGGTCAGCGCAACGGATCGCCAGGGCCGTTAATCTCGGTTTTTTCACCGGAGCCGCTATCTCCTTGAAATAGCTCCTCAGTTATCCTCACGAGGCTGAGTGGACCCCGTTCCAGACCCACTACTTCTCAGAAAATCTAGTAGCGTCGGGAATCAAACCC